CATATATATATATATATGTATATATATATCAGCAGGAAGTCAGATCGTGAATTTGGCTATTCTTCACTGCTGGATAGAGACTCTGGCTTCCCTCATAGCCCTTTTCCAAAAACACTACAAATACAATTTCTCACTATTGGTCACACACTCAGAATTCTTCCAATATTAAAAGGTTATGAATTATTGAGCAACTGGAAAGTCTTGCTTTGTATCTGGTCTTTTCAAGTGAATAGTCATTCTAAGAGGGCTTATCCGGTAGCGCTGCTTGCTTCCTTCTGCAGGGATGTCTTCAGGACTGTTTGTGTCATGCAGTGTGATCTGTTTCAGGAGGTAAAGATGGAGTGCACACCTGCAAGTGAGATCAAACAAGGTCGCAGTTGTTGGTGTTCCCTGGGGTAACGTTGTCAGAAAAGGTCCTGGCAAGATCAGTGGACTTTGCTTCATGGGTTCACCGTTTGGATTCTCTACAAATTATACTAAGTACGGAAAAGAGTTAGGAGACACAGGACTTTTTAAAAAACTAGTAATAAGCAATAAGACCAGAAATTCAAGAAGAATGATTCCTAGAAATATCCAAGATTTTATCTAACTATGCAGGCAAAATAATTAAATCTCTCGGGTTAGAAGTAATGGAGTGAAAGCTGCTGTAGATGTTCTTCTAAGTCTTTGGGCAAGTTTCATCTTGGTAGGATGAAGCATAGTTCCATAAATGGTGGGAAATCGCCACAGGGAACTCTGACTCTATCACCACCTTCTGAGGTAGACGTGAGCATATGGGAACTTGTAGAAAATTAAACATGTGCTTCCTCCTCATCTTCACCCACTTTTCATTGTATATGGGGGAAAAACCTGTGTTCTCTACATATTGAATATTTCCAAATGGAGAATTAGAGATTACAGTAAAGAAACAAAATGCTGGTTATTAACACTGACACTTCTAACCACCTATGGCACAGAGCACACAGTGAATTAGAGAGCATGTTTCCATTTGTTCTATGGTGACACTAGACCTATTATGACACATGGAGAAAGCTCACAAGTGTAGCATATGCTTTAAAATTAACTTGTGCTTTCTTCCACTTATTAGTTTGTTCCTTCCCCCCCCCCGTCAGACAACTCATAATTTGTTTTATTGTATGACTTTAGCATGGAATTATGTTCATTATACTATTAACCTCTATTTCCAACAGATGATCCAATAATAACATTCAAGATTTCAGAGCAAAAGGTGGAATAGCTAGAATCTGTCCCACACATCCTGGGTTTTACTTTAATTAGTGTCAATTGGGTATTTTCTATACTATCTTTCTGCATTTTTATTTTCTCACCAGTAAAATATGGTTCTATGCACTCAGAGGCTTGTCTCAAATCTAATTCCATGTTTTTAATTACCACCTGCCTGAACAAGCAGTAGTATTTCTGCTTATTAATTCTTACTTTTTAAACACAATAAACCCTTTCAATATTAATTAGCTGATTTTATACTAATGTATCTCCATTCTATCCTTTTTCTTTTTCATTGTATATCCTTAAAATGTTTTGTGGTTATATCAGTAACTTAGTAGTTTTTATTAAATGCATTTTTGAATTTTAGTTTATTAATACATGTGTGTAGTATGCAATGCTTTCATTCTTTAAGGGAAGTTAGCGCATGAAAATAATATATCTTAATTCCTTTTTCCATTCCCTTTCTCTGCCCTCCCCCTCCACCATCTTTTAGTAAAACTACTAAAAGAGAAAACTCTTAAGTAATAAATGAACATTACATTGCCCCGATAACACTTGCATTAGTCCATTTTCTATTGCTGTAGCATAGGCTGAATAACTTACACAGTGAAAGTTTTTGGTTTTTGGTTTTGGTTTTGTTTTTGTTTTTGTTTTGCTTTGTTTTGTTTTGTTTTGTTTTGTTTTTGTTGTTGTTGAACTGGGGATTGAACTCAGGCCCTTGCGCTTGCCAGGCAAGCACTTATTCTACTGAGCCATTTCCCTGGCCCTGAAGAGGCTTGTTTAGCTCACCACTTCAGAGGGCACAGCAGACCACATGGCACCAACTCTGATGGGAGTTCCCCCCCCCCCCCCCCACCCCCCAACACCCTCACTTCCCCACCTGCCCACTACCCCTACCCCCCTCCACCACCACCACCACCCCCCAGCCATGAATCATGGTATATGGCCTTATAGCCAGAACACATTCCAGAGAGAGAGAGATCAGACTGGAAGAGAGCATTCAGGGGATTCGGGGTCCGGCTCACCCTTCTATAAACAATTCACTCTCAGACCAGCTTTGTTCTTTAAAACCAGCATCAATCCCTTCTGAAGGCAGCACATACAGTGACCTAAGTACCTGCCATTAATCCTGCCTCCTAAAGGTTCCATTCCTGTCAACACCATCTGACTGAGCACCTAGCTTCCAATAGGTAAGCTTTGGGGGACACCTTCAAACCAAACCATAGCAACAATATTAAATATGTAATCATACTGCTCTACATATGTGATACTGGGTAATTTCAAAATATACTTATGTTGGAGTCCGGCTGCAATGGTGAACATGGCGTCAAGTGCTCTGAGAAAAAGGATGAGTCCTAAGCCAAAGCTGACTGAAGCGCAGAAACAGGAAACCCGGGGAGCTTTTGATCTCTTTGGTGCAGATGGGACTGGGACCATCGATATAAAGGAACTAAAGGTGACAATGAGAGCCCCGGGCTTTATGCCCAAGAAACAAGAAATCAAGAAAATGATAAGCGAGGGCCTGGGAAGATAGCTCAGTAAAATAAATGCTTGCCTGGCAAGCACAGAGTTCTGAGTTCATTCCACAAAAAAAAAAGAAAAGAAAATGATAAGCGACATTGATAAGGAGGGGACAGGCAAAATTAACTTCAGTGACTTTCTGACCATGATGACTCAAGAAATATCTGAGAAAGATATCAAGGAAGAAATCCTGAAAGCTTTCAGGCTCTTCGATGATAATGAAACTGGGACAATATCGTTCAGAGATCTGAAGCGTGCAGCCAAGGAGCTGGGTGAGAACCTGACCGATGAGGAGCTTCAGGAGACGAAGTGATGAAGCTGATCGACATGGAGACGGCAAGGGCGATGAGCAGGAGTTCCTGTGCATCATGAAAAACCAGCTTCTATTGAGAACCATGTTGTCTCCAGCTGCAAGCACATGTGACCAGATTAGTGCCCACTATCCAGTGAAATCTGGCTCCCCATTTCCCTTTAGAATTTCAGCTATAGCCTTGAATCTGATTTGGACTTCTGGAAGTGTTTTTCAATATTAAAGTTCTTAGTA